ACACCGACCCGAGCCGTCTGGGCTAGAGTCCCTGACAAGTTTAAAATCATTAGTTTTCTGGGAAACAAATGGAGCATGAAGGCAGCAAAGGGGCCACAGCGGGGCCGGTGATGTTACTCTCTTACCATGGGAAAGTTCATCTCCTGCCACGTTCTCCTCTTCCTGCATTGCCTGAGCCATCTGTGGGAAAAGCACAGACCCCATTACAAGTTGCTCACCATAGAAGCTCAGCACAGGCTGGACGGACACGCAGACAGACGAGAACCATTGAGAGACTGTCACCTCCCTGCTCTTGTGGGAAGGGTCATGGCCAAAATCTGAACCTTCTCTGGCTTTCTCCCAGCCACCCTCCAACAACTGCTGCCCATGGCAATGCCTCCAGTCGCCTCAGCAGCTCCGTCCAGTGCTGTGAGGAAGCAGCTCAAGGGGAAACGTAACCTGCCGCTCTGCGCTCTTGTGCCGATTTACGGACGAAAGGCATCATCCTACCCGGGCTCTGTCGCGGAGGTGGGGCCCCTGCACAGGGATTCTCCCACAGAGCCATCACTGGCCTCCACAGAGGGGAGGAGGCACGAAGACACTGAGGCCTGTTTAATGGAAACCAACATCTGGAGCAGAGAGCACAGGGAGCAGCCAGCCGTTTGGAGCAGCCTGAGGCTAAGGCAGGCAGGGAGCCTGCCTTGGGGTCCTGCTGGGCCACCTAGATAAGCACCTCCCAGCCATATCCTATGTTTGAAACCCCTCCCTCTCCTTCACTAATTGCCCCAGATCCCCATCCAAACCCTCTGCACCCTCCCTGCCCTCCTCTCCCTACTCACAATTGGCTCCTATACCCAGCACCCCTTCCACTACCCCTCCCCAGTCCAGAATCTTCTCCTCAACCCATCCCCCTTTCAGTCCCTGCACCCCAAGCCCCATCCTACACCCAAACACCCTCTCAGACGCCACACCCTCACCCACACACCATCCCCCTACCCCGAGCTCCCAACTGCACCCAACACCCCTCCCAAACCCTGCACCTCCTCCAAAGGGGGTCACATGAGGAACTATTGCCCACCCCTGCTTTAGATGATACTGGAAGGACACACTCTCAGGCAGGCACATGAGGCTTCCATGTGCCCAGATGGGCCACAGTTACCCAGAACTTCTGGGTCTGAAGTCAGGACCCCACCCATCCCTTCTTCCCATTCATCATGTAAGGAGCAGGTAGGAGGTGAGGAGACACCCTCATTCCTTAGGGTCCTGGCCCAAGGCTGCACGCTGGGTATCTTTTCTCCCAAAAGGACAGGTAAGAAACACATCATTAATAGCCTCTCCAAGGCTGTCAGGAAGGAGTTTCCCCTTTAAAAACACTGCATACCTGAGAGGCATAAGGGCTATTGTGAAACAATCAGTTTCACACATACAGAATGGGAAGCGACTGTCTGGGAAGGAGTCCTGCAGAAAGGGATCTAGGGGCTATAGTGGACCACAAGCAGAATATGAATCAGCAGTGTGATGCTGTTGCAAAAAAAGCAAACGTGATTCTGGGCTGCATTAACAGGTGTGTTGTGAGCAAGACATGAGAAGTCATTCTTCCACTCTACTCTGCACTGGTTAGGCCTCAATTGGAATATTGTGTCCAGTTCTGGGCACCGCATTTCAAGAAAGATGTGGAGAAATTGAAGAGGGTCCAGAGAAGAGCAACGAGAATGATTAAGGGTCTAGAGAACATGAGCTATGAGGGAAGGCGGAAGGAATTGGGTTTGTTTAGTTTAGAAAGAGAAGATTGAGATGGGACATGATAGCAGTTTTCAGGTATCTCAAAGGGTGTCATAAGGAGAAGGGAGAAAACTTGTTCATCTTGGCCTCTGAGGATAGAATAAGAAGCAATGGGCTTAAACTGCAGCAAGGGAGGTTGAGGTTGGACATTAGGAAAAAGTTCCTAACTGTCGGGTGGTCAAACACTGGAATAAATTGCCCAGGGAGGTTGTGGAATCCCCATCTCTGGAGATATTTAAGAGCAGGTTCGATAAATGTCTATCAGGGATGGTCTAGACAGTATTTGGTCCTGCCATGAGGGCAGGGGACTGGACTCAGTGACCTCTCGAGGTCCCTTCC